GGGGGGGGGGGGGGGGTGTGGAAGAGAGGTTTCTAATGACGTTCCTCCTTCCAAGGACTCTAAAAGGTGAGGAAAGATATTGAAGGGCAAGTGGGGACAGAGTTGCAAGGGGTCATGAAGAAGAGAGGCTGATGCAGAAGTTTCCCTGTGAACAAGAATAGTGAGGGGAAGAGGCAGCTTTGGAGCATTTCACTAACAGAGCATTTTGACTGCCTGAGCCCCCTTCTGCACTTCATCTATGTAAGTCATGGTGGCTGGGCAGCTACTGCAGGTCAGTAAAGCTGAACAAGTAATCCATCAATGAGGAGGTGGGGCACATGCTATAGTTGGAGAGCTCATTACCGGAGTGGTCTCCGAGGCCTTTCACTGATATGTTGGGCTTGAGGTTGGCAAGGAGGAGGGTGTCACTGTGAACTATATTAAGGTCCAGCATATTGTATCTGTGTAGCATAGCAGAGCCGTTCTCTAATAGCAGTTAATCCTTTGAAGGGAATTCCACACAGTTATAGTCGGTATCTAGTTACAGACATTCCTCTTAGAAATTCTTGGTCTAATGTTTAAGACAGTCCCAGTCAGTCTGTGTTTTTGGTGAGTGTAATTAATAGGTTTATTGAGGCTTAATGGTGCTATTTCCCTCTATCCATCCCAGATTAAGTATGTGGAGGAGGCATTTAAGGAAAACCAAAAGGATTGGATTCTCTTGGTTTGCCTTGGAGCCATGTCAGGGCTTGGACGCTTGGTTTCTGGCCGGATTGGTGACTGCATTCCTGGACTGAAGAAGATTTACTTGCAGGTATGCTATGCTTCATCCTCCACTCCGCTTCTCTCCCTCATACAAGTGCATGCTAAACATGAAAGCTTTACTACCCTGGGATGACTTGCCCACACAAATATCAATATATGGCACTTAGTGCATTTCATCCAAGGAGCTGTACAGGCTTTCCGCCCAATTCATTAACCCTCCCAGCACCCAGGAGGTAGTTAAATATTGTTGAAGGTTAAAGTGAGCCATAGAGAAGCTGTATGCTTTACTCAATATCTTCCAGCAAGTCAATAATGGAGACAAAAATAGAAGTTGAGAATCCTGACTCTGATTGCTCCTTTCCTAACTAGTGCCATCTTCCTCTTTGATTTGCTAAAAAAGGCTTCTGAAATTAGGTGACTAATCCATCAGGTAATCCTTCTTTTAAAGGCCTCCTTCCAGATTAATTTAGAGTGGCCCTCCAAGTAAAAACATGACTGAGTTCAGAGTAGGGGGCAACATCAGTGTTATGATCCATATTTCTTACTGTAATTTAAAAAAATGTGGTGCCAGTATCCAAAATTAGGGATGGCCTGTTGCTTGTTTGCCCTCACAGTTCTGGGAGTTGCAGAATGTCTAACTCTGTGCTTTGGGATAACTAGCTTGCTAGAGTTGCTACCCAGTGCCCTACTCTTCCTAATTTTAGGCCTGAATGTGAGGGCTAAGAGAAGCAGATCCTCTGGCTTCTCTTGAAGTAGGACTGAAGTTAGCTCTTTTAAACAGTGTTTTGTGAGTCAGTCATCAATGTAGTCCCATGTTGTTCATGAAAATTATACAGTTGGGTCTCATTTCTAGTAGGATGGGGGTCTAGACACCTTAGTTAGGGAGCAGGTAGCATTCCTACCTTTTGTTTCCATGGTCACATAGGAAAGGAAATACTAGTGTTTGTTCTTCAAAAGAGAGAGCTTCCCCAAACTAGAGCTCTCTCAGCAGTTTCAAGAACCAGGCGGTTCTCATTTACTCTTTCAGCCCGGACACAGAACCTAGAGAATGTAAAAAGATGGCAGAATATGTTGGATTAATTATAAAAACATTTTTCAGGTCACCTTATTGATGCCTTTTGTAGCTGGTGATGTTGCTAACATTCAGTCAGATCTCTGCTGTCCTGGGGTTTCCTTTGCCTGTATGTTATTGCTCTCTATTATTACCACAAACCCATCAGTCTCTCTATTGAAGTGCCTATGATGGCTCTCCTGTTTCTGGGTTACATAGCCTCAAGCAGTCTTGCTTGGCTGCTGCTGCAGTTCAGAATGCCTGACCTGTTCCTTTCCACACAGAACACTTTTTACCTAGGGTCAGATTTCCAAGGGGTTTGGGAGCATAAATGTGTCAGTAGGCAACATTTTCAGAGCAAGTTAGGTACTTGATTTCAATAAGAGCTGCCTGAAAATCTTGCTAGATGCCTGTCTGCATCGTTGGGTATTTCAGGACCTTTGGGGATCTACCTAAGGCATGAACATTGAGCACTGCAGGGTATGAGCAAGATGATGCAGCTGAAAGCAGCATGTCCAGGATAAAAGAGTGGCAGGCAAATGAGAGATTGAAGTGGGAGGGAATATTTGGAGTGGCCAACAGGGCTGGCCATTCTAGAGAGAGCGAAGAATCTGGAAGGGAGACAAGGTGCTTATTATATATAAGAAGTACAGGATTAGTCAGGGGACCGGTCATAGAAAGGATGTGCTAAGGGTGGGCTTCTACACTGCTTACATTATTTGTCCAAAATGAGCCCTCTTGTCTTAAAGAAATGTTTTCAAATTACAAGTATGAAATTACAGAATGGATCCTCGTATTTGTTCTCTGATAGTCCCACAACCTTGGACTTGCATTAAGAAGCCACAAGTTCATGGTTTATCAGTTACCCGTCTAATATCTGCACTTTGACTCTTCAGGTTGCCTCCTTTATGCTTTTGGGCCTCATGTGCATGATGATCCCACAGTGCCAAAAATTTGAAGATGTTATTGTTGTCTGCCTCTTTCTTGGACTTTGTGATGGTTTCTTTATAACTATCATGGCTCCCATAGCCTTTGAGTTGGTTGGACCAATGCAAGCTTCTCAAGCTATTGGCTATCTCCTGGGTCTTATGGCCATCCCAATGACTGCCGGCCCACCAATAGCAGGTCAGTAGAAGTGTCGGACTCTAGGATCACAGGATTTTATGGGATTGCATGCTAAGTCTTGCATCACAAATGATTGGAAGGCGGTGGTGGCTAGGGAAGAGTGAGGTATTGTTGGAAGAGGAAACACATACTGTTGTCTTCTTCACATATTTTGGCATAAACTAATGCATTATCTTAAAAATATTCTATATTTTGTCCACATTAATTTTAGCTGCAATATGTTTACAAATAAGACTTTTCCTATGATGTAATGGTGCTTTTCTTCACATGGGGCAGCTGAATACTGAAAAAATTAACAGCCCAAGCTGTCATCATCCCAGCAATTTAAAAAATAGTTTTAAGAGCAGATGATAGAATTAGATAGAACAGACTAATATCAAAATTGACCATGTTTTAATAAATATTTCATAGATGTGTGTTAGCCTCAGTTACTTGAAAAATATTTTAAATTAGAGTTCCATAGTTACCGCTTTTTTATAACATGAAATTTAGAGCTGGAGTTTTGGCAGAGGGTACAAATCATGCCACAAATTACTGAACAAAATGTAAAGATTAGATATGGGGTTATTATCCAACAAACATCTGCATACTTGCTTAACTTTAAGGACTTTGAGCTTATTTGTGTTTAAAGTAAAACACATGTGCAAGTTCAATGCAGGAACATGTCCTTGGACAAGAAGGGCAGCTGAATTTGGTAAAACAAAACAAAAAAAAGCACTATTAGTGCTTATGCTTCTGGGCATGAATTGGTGATTCAGCTGGTGTTGAGAAAAGACTGTCAGCATCATGACGCTGCTCCTTAGAAATATCCTGAATTGGACACATCACGCAAAACCATGCAATCCCTATGTTTCTACATGCAAGAGAAATCTTGGAATTCTAGGGACTTTCCTAACAGCCTCAAATGTTGATGAAAGTAGCATCTCCAGAAGAAAAAAGTCTGGTCATGTAAGAACTTGCTTGAACAAATGGTATTGCACAGTTGGTCTGAAGGGAGTAGCATGTAATTGATAAATGTCGGTACTTGGTTCTCTCTCCAACCAAAAACAACCCCAAAACAAAACTAGCATGGACATCCATAAGCAAACCCTATGTTACAAAGAAAGGGGTTTAACATTCAACATGTTTATAGGCAGCTGGTACCTTTTTTTGCTGTATATTTGTTTATCAATCTAGTGATAAGAAATTGCATCTGCAGTATTTGATTACTAAATATTACCTTGATTTTTATTTCTGATTCTGGTTTGAGTCTCAGAATCTTATTTCAGTTGTAGTTAAATAATAATTAGTATCTGAAGCTGTGATCCTTAATTCTGATACAAACTTTTAAAATCCTGGGTAACAGAGCTCCGTTCTATAAAACCTAGTTAGGCTGGAGCTGGAGAGGGCCCAAGTTGTCTGCTCTGTGGATTTAGGAAGACTTAAATTGGCCATTAGTCTAAAGTTACTACAATCACAGTTCTTCTGTTTTTCAGGATACCTCCATGATTATTTTGGGACTTACCACCCATCCTTTTACTTTGCTGGAATTCCCCCAATTATCGGGGGCCTGGTCTTGTCTGTCGTGCCTCTGGTTCATCAAAGAATGCTCAAGAAACAGCAGCCGGATTCTGGCAAAGACAAAATGTTGGTTTCGGAGACCGTCATGAATGGAGAGCTCCTTCCAGGCTGTCCTACCACTGAGGCACACATATAAAGCCTTTTTCCAGTCCCTCACTCCCAGAGACACACATACACATGTACACACTGTGTTGACACCAGCATCTTCCCCCTGTCTAAGCACAGGCCCTTTTTTAAAAGGAGCATAATCCTGTGCAGTTGCAGATGTGCTGCAATATATTTGTTAGGGCTGTGCGAAGCTTCGGGTACTGATTTGATTTGGATGAGATTCGGCCTGATTCAGCGGCCAAATCTCCAAATCTGAATCAAATTGGGAGACCAATACAAAGGTCTGAATTGATTCGAAGCCTCCGAATCAATTTGGAGGAGATTCGGCGATTCAGGCAGTCCCCACTTGCCGCACAGGGAGCTGGACCCAGACTCCATGCTGATAAGTAGGAGGCGGGGGCACTGCTGCAGCAGCTGTCAGGGCTTTTGGGGGCTCGTGGCAGAGCCCCCCCACACAGTGCGGAGCAGTGGGGGGCAGTGGGGATTGCCGCCCCACCTGGCAGGAGCCAGTGAGTGTGGAGCTTTTTTTTTAAAGAGCTGGGATGCTGGTGCTGGGCAGAGCAGGGCAGCCATTTAAGAGGTTGGGAGAGTGGGCAGGGGGTGGGACCTGTTTGATTCGGCCAATTCGGCAGCGGCTAAATCTCTTAATCAGATTCGGCCAAGTTGACTTGGGACAGTGATTTGAATCACTGAATCGAAGCACTGTCCTCCGAATCCGAATCTAAAACAAATACTAGCCACTTCACACAGGCCTAATATCTGTAGAGGAAAAAGTTCTTCTAGTTTAATGCTTTTAACTTTTGGAGCCATTTTACACAGGACATTTTGATTCTTAAAGCTGCATTTTTCTTCTCCAACCATTTTCTGAAGAGAACTCTAACTTGGACTCTAACTCGCTTTTCCCACTTCCTCAGTTTTCTAATTGTCACAATATTTGTTTACAGTTAATGAATGCCTTTTAAAGCAAGCTGTAGGCAAAACTTGTTGAACCTTTGGGTTTTAGTTACAGATCCATCCCAACACACAACCTCCTTGATTCTGCCTGCACATATTGCCTTGATGTTGGATTCAGTTCCATACTACCTTAATCTTATGATTAACAGAGCTTAATCTATGATGAACAGATTTCAAGACTTTTTTTTATTCCACTTGAAGGCAAAAAAATGAAAATAGAGCTAAGCATTTGTCATTTGTAAGAGTGCTGAATTCTCCCCTCCCACATCAAAAAAAGAGTCCTTTCTGGAAATTTTCAGTCTGCTTAACTGGACCATAAGCTAATTCCTGTATGGCCTGGTCAGCCACCAAACTCAGATTTCCCCTCTGATATTCCATCAAGGAGAGAGATCCCCTCGCTGTGTGTGCCTAGTGTCAAACCTGACTTGGCTGTAAACAGTTAAAGTAGGCTAGCTGCCGGTTGTGTCAGATATGTTTCACCGATGGCAGGGGAACTTTGGAGTCGCACCTTTTCTATCTGCTCTTGGATGAAAAGAGAAAGCATACTGCCCTCAGTGACACTGAGCACTTACTGTGACTCATAATGTAGCCCCTGGCCCCCAGGATCACTGCAAGAAAACTGAAGGCACTTGAAAACACAGAAAGGTAGAAAAAGAAGAAAGTGTGATTTATTGTGGGCAGCTAATTTTGAGACCCAACCCCATCCATTCAAGATGGAGATCCCTCTTAAAGCTGAGGAGATGAACTATTAGCCTGTGGTTCATCTGTTGGTCACCTCCAGCTTTCTTAACCAGTAACTAAATGAGTAGGTTTCCAAGCCCCCAACAGAAAGAGGAATTAACTGCTAACTTAAGATGTTCTAACTGGTAAAATACTATCTTTGCAGGTAACAAAATGACTAACACTGAATCCTCCAAGAGTCAGAGTTCAATGTCAATTTTGACCTGAGCTGTTCCACTTGGTTGGTTAACTCATCTTTAGCATTTCTTAACCACATTGAAGTGTGTGGGTTAGTTTTTGCTCAGAATTCCAAGTAAGTCAAGGCTGAAAAAATGACTGGAAGAAGGGAGAGTGGGCCGTGCAAATGCTAATGGACTTGGTGGGCCAGGTCTGTATTATTCTTCAATGATCAACTTGTCAGTATTACAGGAGCTGTGGAAAGAGGCAGAATATTTGTAAAAGGCAATTTTTTCCTGTTTGCATATGCTTCAGTATTTTTCCTCTATGCTTATGTCTTGCTGGGGCGCAGCTTGAGAGGTCACTATGGGACATGGAGGTTTCGGACAAGATCTAGGGGCAGGTTGGCTGACTGCCCTTCAAAGTGATTACAAGTGCAAGTGAAAGAAGGGGGATCTGTCTTAGCAGCACGGATGCAGTGTGTACCTCTGTGTGAACAATATTTTGTGCTCCAGATGGTGGTCAAAGCTCAAGGTAGTAATGAGTATTTTAACTAGCTGACATGATCAGTTTCTATTCAAAATTGTCCACAAGGCTCAAGTGACCACTGCCACACTTGGAAACAGCAGAAAGCAAGCACGTTCTGTAAGAACAGAGAACCCTGAGGTTATGTGGAGTCCTGCTGATTGATGTGGAGACTCCAGCACATTTTGATCTCTCAGAGAGCTCAATGAGAAATTCAGTAGAAGCAGATTCATGGCCTGGATTGAAGACCAACCTTGGTAGTTCACAGAAGGTAATAACAATCCATGTTTGTGCAGCCGTCAGTGTAACCAGGTGTTAACAAAGAGGAATGAGGTTCTCTGGCTTTGGCACCTCAAGAAATCTGCAACAAAAATGACTTTTAGTTTCCATAGAGCTAACTTGTTGAAGAAGTGGAGATTGTGTGTTGAACAAAAGGTGTTTCATCAGAATGGATGATTGTTTCACATCTTTTTTTTTTTCCATTGCCTTGCTTAACTAAAAAAGAAAAAAAAGCAGCCATTATAAGTGAGTTACGGCAAAGACTGCTAACTGAGGAGACTATGGAAATCTTTCTGTTACTTAGTGTGGAGGTCTAATGAAGTATTGGACCATAAACTTGTTCTCAATTCATGCCTGTAACTCTTATCAGCATTAGCATTGGGGTGGGAGTTTGGCATAATGACAAAGGGCTCCACATGCCCCCCTGCCTTTATCTACGTTGACAGTATACAGCAAAATGGTGTGCTTTGTTGTTGTTTTTAATAAATGTCAGTCCCTGTAGCAACATCTGGAGAACTAGATGGCATTTTGTAGCACTTAATAATTTAATTCTAAAATGTGGATGGGTGTTTTGTGTGTCGGAGTATGTGTGTGTGTCTCTCTCTATCTTCCCGTCTTGCTCTCCACCAACCTTTTCTTCTGAGGATACATTTTTTTAACTATTACTCATTACTAGAAAGCAGAACACAGGAGGATAGAACATGTATCAGAGCCTTGGAAAAATGCATCAGCTGGAACAGCATGTTTAACAAGCATCTGTTCCATATCCATGTCTTGATGTGAGTCAGATTGTGCTGCTCTGACTCAAACTGAGCAGTACTTTGCGCTACCACTAGCCCTGCTGGCTGCTGCAGGATTCCAGGTGTGATCCCCCAGCCCTATTCCATTGAAGTCCATGGGACTATTCCCACAGTAAGGTACACCCGAGCAGCTAGGAGCGTCACAATCTGACCAGTAATCCCTATCTTGAGATGAAGAAATACCTTTATTGCGACTGCCTTTGTGTCCTGGTTCTTCATGCTACTTTAGAGTTCTTTTTTAGTATATTTTCAGTATTAAAGCTTTTCTTTCAAGGGGTATTTTTTTCAATTATAAGAAAGAAGGTAAAGTTGAATGTGCAATAAGACAAGCTGTGCTGCCTCAAAAAACAAGCACTACATGAGTCAACACGTGAATGTTGGGTTCATAAGTAACCGATTACACTTGCTGATTACAAATAACAAGGCGCTGTGCCTTTCCCAGACATTAATTCTAAATACTTCTCTAATGCTTGAGACCATTTACAGATCACAACCTCCTTATGTGCAAGAATCTCCCATTAGGGGATAATCTTCATTCTGAAAACTCAGTCCGTGAGTGTGATTGTGCTATAACATGACAACGCTAGCATGAAGTGATGATCCACTGTCTCAAGAAAGTTAAAGTTTTGAGCCATCCAAGGTAGTTAAATGTTCTGTGCCAGGCACACAAAGGGTGCAGTAGTGAGTAAGATAGACAAATTAAGTGTTTGGGGGGAAAAACTGGAGGTAGCAAACTTCAACCTACTTCCATCACATTTTCCTAATCTAAACACCCTTTTGTCAGTTCTATGATAGGCAAGATATTTATTAGATAAAGTATGGCAAAATTCTCTGCTTTTATCCACACAGTAAAGCTAGGTTCTAATATTCTGTTTGCCGAAAAATGGATATCAGAATCAGGACAGCTAAATATCCAAGCAACCCTATGCAAAGGGGAATGTTGTCTTTAAAATGTCTTCTTGTCCTGTAACTGTCTTATGTAAGCAATAAGGTGTATTCCAAGAATTATCACGTTATTGGCATGCAGTAGACATGGGTGTGAAGGTTTGAGTATCTCGGAACTGATAGTAATTACACTAATTTCTCAGAAATTCACTGTTCTTGCTTGAGGGCTATTGGAGTCCATCATTGGAACGTCAAGTCATAACTTCAAGCAACTTCACCTGAATAACCAAAATGCATTGGCATGCTTACACTTCTCTTCCCAGTGCAGTGTCTAAAGAATTAATATGCTCATGCTTTCTGTTTAAGGATTTGGTTTTGAGATCCTTATTGAGACAATTTCCCATCAAAGTCAAACTTGCCAGCATAAAAACTGAAGGATTATGTTAACTAGAGTGTTTTGTGATTTAAATAACCTGTGTCCATACTATACTCAAGCCAGTGCCCAGGCCTGGTCTTTGCTTTGTTCTTTTTCTCTGCAAGTGTCAATGAGTTTTCAGCCGTATGGGTTCTTCATCCATAGGTTTACAATTTCACTTCCTTTTCTGAAATGAAACAAATCATTCTGTTTCCTTCTAAGAATGAAAGCAAAGGCTTCAGCTGACTCTATTACTTTTGTCTCCTCCATTTCTTAGGAAGGGAGGGAGGAGTTTGACAGTCAAAGTTTAGTGACACCAACTCAGTATTAATCTTTGGAATGTTGTGCAGTAATGCGCGCGCTGCCAGTAATGAACCTGAACTCGTTTAGAAATAAGGACACTGTGAATTCAGACAAGAGGAGAGAAGGTGATTGGTTTATTGTATATAGCGAGCAATGAATTTGGAGAACAGCTGATGAA